TATGTGCCTAACACACCAACTTACGTATGTGCCTAACACATATCAAATGTCAAAGTTGCAACGTTGCAACCGTCCTGTTCTTTTGGCAACCAGGTAAGCAAGAAAGCTGAAATTTTATTAGAATGTTGTTTGATTCTGCGGAGCAGCCTTTCCACACACTAACGTCTTGCATAGGGAAACGGTGAATTCTATGTTGCAAAACTACGATCGCACCAGCAACACTGGTGCGCGCTGCAACCAGGTTTTAAAATAATTTCACATAGAGTATTGTGGCAACAAGCAAGTGCGCTTAAAGCTTCACGATCAGTTGTTTCACAGAAAAATGCCACTAATTTATGAGATGAAAAATAAAGGCAGATTTCTGTGGGCTGTGAAGCTTGATGCAAGCATACTATGTTTTGGATCCGGGATGCACTGGTTGCAGCTTACAGCGCAGTTTACGTCGAAAAAATTTGTCTGCGTGCGCACTTGTTCGCATTTGTCTTCCATTGCCCATCGCTCGCAACTCTTGTAGATATTACGGCAGTGTCCTTAAAAATCGTTCGTTACTGAATGGCATGTGTTTTTGTTCTGCAGAAAAAGAAAAAGGCTGTCCGCCAGGCGACTGGTTCTGCGCATGTGGTAGTAAATAAAAAAATCCAGTTATTCATTGTAAAAAGTCGCTAAATGACCAAAATTATTCTCATGGCCCAACATCGCCAAAAAACGCTTACTGTGGCAGTATCGGCCCATCCAACCAAATGTACACAAGCAAGATGTTCTTCCCGGTAAGCAGGTGCCACCGTTCAAGCATGGATTAAATTTGCAGTTCTCCTGCGTAAATCTTTTTAGTATTAACTGTGGCTGACAGTTACCTGAAAAAAAGCATGATTTAACACTGTTTAATTCCAAAGTCACCACTGCGGTGGAAAGATCCGTCTGATTTTATGTGGAATTTTGGAAGATAAAGACTTAACTGGACTTGTAGACAGCTATACCTACTTGGGACAAGTAGTGCAGATGAACAATGACTTGAGCGCAGAAACTGCAAGAAGAATTAGAACAGGGTGGATAACGCTCGCCAAGTTCTGCGAAATATTCTACGACAAAAAGATTACTTCATCTGCAAAAGTAGCAGTTTACAATTCGACCGTCCTGCCAGCCATGTTATATGGGCGTGAGACGTGGAACACCACGTTCGCTGAAGGACGGAAATTGGCTGTCTCTCAAAGAGCAATGAAGCGGCGTATGATTGGCGCCAACAGGCTACAGCACATACCGAATGAAGTGCTATGAGCCAGATCTGGCGTGAAAGATATTACTGAACCAAAGTACGCTAGAAAGAGGAGATGGGCTAATCATGTGGCACGGATGTCAGACAATAGATGGACGAAGCGGATAATGGAGTGGTATCCGCGTACAATCAAGCGAACACTGAGGAAGCTACCAGTGAGGTGGAAAGACCCCATGGTACGCCTGTACGGTATCGCGTGGACTCTGAGAGTTGCCAACTGCATCGATGGCATGACAACCGACGTCGATGACATACAGCTGCTCGAGTATTCAAGTAAGTATATTGGAAGTGAAGGGCCCAAAGTAAAGAATAATGCTAAAGCTGCCAGCCGCATCAGCGGCGAGAACATATGCGACGGTGAAAGAACAATTAACCTAAGTATCAAAGTATGTGGTCCCTACTAGTGAAAACGATGAAAAAATGTGCGTTTGAAAACATATGCGAGGAAGAACATCATAAGCGGTTTCTTCAGGTTACGCTAATAAGCAACCGCAAGGCTTCAAGCACATCAGCCTCACAACCTTCCCCGCTACTTTTCATTCTTGAAAATGATGGAGGCGCTCGAAAGCGAACCGAGTGATAACGTTTTTTTCTGAAACGGAATAGCATTGCTTTGCCCCCAGGAATTACATAAGAAGCTGGGGCTACTTGAATGTTTTATCTAGGGGCATTAATTTTTCGTCAAAACAAAACAAGGATCGGAAAAGAACTGGTTTTTCAATCAGCAGGCTTCGTTCGACCAGTTAATACAGCGTGTGAATGTACCACCAGATCAACAAAACACCAGTCACTACGAAGCTGAAGCTGACTCCGCTGCACAGTCCTAGCGTTATCATTCAGAGTTAACACGATGTTATTCATCTCAGCTGTTGAGAATGTCAGACAATAGCCAAAATCAAACTGCGAGTCAAAAATTATCATCGGCCAGATGCACGGGTGCAGGCGATGTGCAGTACAAGTTGCAGTTATTTCTTTTTCTTCTCTTCCAAATGTATTCGGAAAGAAGGGGGGTCGATTTTACACACGATTTCAACGACGAATAGTGAAAAGTTGAATGAATCGACGAAAAAAATGTCGTTAAAGAAGGGCGCCGCACAGGCCATTGGTAAAAATGAAACGGCTGGGGATAAAGGGGATGAAAATTATGAATGTCAAGAAATGAAAACTGACCAGACCATTTTGCAGGAGGCACAGTTGTAGAGAAGGTGCGCAAAAGGTAAGGCAAGGCAATGAGTGTGGGTATTCAATAATTCGATACTAAAAAAATCTACTTCTCGAGTCGGGCACGATTTTTTCACTCAGCACGAGGGCAGTGAGCTTGTAGGCGTGAGACTCTGAGCCAGCCGTCTTCGGGATCTCCTAGGTCAAAAACGCCTCTCAGCTCAGTTCACATCACTACGCCTCGGAAACAAATTTTGGAACAAATGAGGATGAAACTTACAAGAAATGAAAGCGATTACTGGCAGAACGAAGTGTCTGAATAACATAGGGCCGGTCTGCTTCCTTCCGATAATGCTGAGGATACGTGTGGATGACGAAAGCCTTGAGATGGATGAAGAGTGGTCAGCGTCACAGACCGCGTCACTTCACAACCAGTCCGAAAAGTCAATTAAATTTCACCGAAAACCCGATTCCTGTCCAAAGGAATTTCGAACCGTATTATATAAGGCACCAACATTGGCAGCACAGCAAAAATTCAAAATTTGTTGCAGTCATTGGAAGTTCTGGAATATACGCAGTATACTTCAGTGTGTCTCTATGTGAGTGTGTGTGCACGCGCGTGTGTATGCAGTTCAGAGGGTCGACGGGCGTATCAAGCGAACGGTTCGTTTGGTAGCCGCTGGATTAATGATGGTCAGGATGATCGCTGTGCACCAGTCAGAGGTTCTTCGCAAGCTTCGCACATACGAATACTGTCCAGCTGATTAACAATGCACGCCTTTTGAAGAGCTGGTACTTACGGTCGAATGATGATATCCCCCTTCCAGGACTTCGGAAGGGAGGATGAAAAAAAGAGGAGATGAAGAAGCAGCAACAATTCAGTCGGCCAGCTGCTATATTGCGATTGATTTCACTTCGTCGTATCTTCCCCCTCCTCCATTTGTCAACCAGCATCCCAACAACGGGTTTATACCGCAACAGCGGAAAAGTCTGTAATGTCTTTTTGACGCTACACCCATTCCACTCTATAGGATACCTCCAATTGATGAATTAAAATCTGCTGAACGTGCGAAATCCAGCTTCCCCGTCCATGAACGAGGAGAGCCAGCGGGCCGCATCGATCATCTCAATCAACAGCATCCGATACAACCATTTTATCAATCCAGCCCATCCCTCCGCTTTCCCACGAGTACCAGTCGCACTTCTGCGCCGAATCACATCATCCTCAGCTTGT